GACACTGATCATTGCATTGAGAGCACGCCCTAACCCAGTATGATCTCATGTCAAAACCCTTAACTTGATTATATCTGCAAAGACCCTTTTTCCAAATAGGGTCATATTCACAGGCTTTTGGTGGACATAGCTTTTGGAGGACCACCATTCCACCCACTACAAGTATTTACTTTAACCCTCACAAATAAACAGTGACAGATATTGAAATTCCCTCCTCAAGCCCCTCCCATCTACTTCCCTTCATCCCCAGATATAGCAACTATCCTCAGTGTCACTGTCATGTATGTTTCATACTTTTACTATCTCTATATCCACAACGAACTTGTAGTTATTTTTATACAAATACCACCTTTATAAGATGAAAATATTTTTATAAATGATATCACCTTGTACATTTTCTTTTGCCACTTGTTTTTAAACTGATCTTTAATAGTTAAAGATTTTTCAGGCTGGGCATGGTGGCTCACACCTGTAATCCCAGCACTTTGGGAGGCCAAGGCGAGTGGATCACTTGAGATCAGGAGTTTGAGACCAGCCTGACAACATGGAGAAACCCTGTCTCTAGTGAAAATACAAAATTAGCCGGGCATGGTGGCACATAACTCTAATCCCAGCTACTTGGGAGGCTGAGGCAGGAGAATCGCTTGAACCCAGGAGGTGGAGGTTGCAGTGAGCCAAGATGGTGTCATTGCCCTCCAGCCTGGGCAACAAGAGCGAGACTCCAAAAAAAGAAAAAGAAAAAAAAAGAAAAGAAAAGAAAAGATTTTTCTATGCTAATACATATACCTCTGATTTATTTATTTTGACTATGATATGAATATCCCTTAATTTACTTATATGTTCTTTATTGAAAGACATTTAGTTATTTATGATTTTGGATATTATAAACTTTGTGATTATGAACATGCTTGGATGTTGTCTTACTATCCTTATATACATGTGTGAGAATTTCTCTAAGATTGATACTTTGAAATGAACCAATAATTTCTTTTCTCTATCTTTCTATTCTTTGGAAGACAATAAGGTAGGTACAAACTGTTATTTCTTGAAGGTTTGCTAACACTAGGTTGTAAACTGAGTGATGCTGTTTGGGGAAATTTTTTTTATTACAATTCAATTTCTTTAATGATTATAAGTATATTAAAGTTTTAAAATTTCCTCTTTAGCAAATTTTTGTCATTTATCTGAAAAATTTTCCACTTTATGTTTTCAAATGTTAGGACTTATGATTGTTCATATTAACATCAAATTGCAGTTTTGTAAAGTCAAAAGGTTGAATATCAGCAATTTAATGTTACTCAACATAATAATTTCTGTGGTTTAAATTTTCCTTCTTTAACTGTAATTATGAGTCTCTTTCATTCCCAATATGATTAATTGTGCCTCCTGTATATTTTGGTTTGTCACCAGACACTTCTCTAGTCTTTCAAAACATAAGATTAATCTTTATTGTTTATTTTTTATTTTATAAATCTCTACTTTTGCTTTTCTTTCTTCTTCCTGCTACCATTTTTGAATGTACTCTGTTGCTCTTTTTCTAACTTCCTTAACCGAATATTAATCGTATCGATTTTTAATATTTTTTAATTCTGATGTACATACATTTAAGGCTTTAACTCTCCTAGCTGTATCCAAATTTTAATAAGTAGTCATTTTACTGTCATTTAGTTCAACATGTTTTTATTTTTATCATATTTTATTTGAAAAGTAAATTATTTAAAAGTGTACTTTTTAGTTTTTATAAACATTAAGGTTTTATTTAGCATCTTTTTAATCATTCAGTTTTAATTATATTACATTTTGTTCAGAGAAAATACACCAATGTTTGGTATTTCTCTTCTTTTATGGCCTAGTATGTAATTCATTTTTTTAAAAATTCATGCATGCTTAAAAAGTGAACATAATATTGCATATTATATTATTGGTGGTAGGGTACTATTTATATATGAAATTGATAATTGTGTGGTTCAAATTTTCTAGAAGCTTACTGATTTTTTGACCCTTTAATCTATCAGTTTTGGATACAGGCACTAAAATCTTCTACTATGACTCTGGATTTGTAAAATTTTCACATGTTCCCATTTGCTTTTGCTTTGTATATTTTAAGGTTTGCTTATTAGGCATATAGAAGGATGACAGTGATTTTTTCCTAGTACTTTTAAGATGTTCATGGCTTTTGTCCCTCACCTCTATTTTGTTGCCTGTTGATCCAGTGTAGACAATCTGCCTTTCCTTGTTTGTTTTAAGATTTTTTCCCCTTATCTTTAATGTCATGTTATTCATTATGATTCTCTGGGTAGAATGTATTTATTGACCCTGGACTTGAGATTCTTGTAGAGTCCCAGGGCTGTGTGGAGGCTGCCATTCAGCATCCATCTCACAGGGCTGACATCCTGGTTTAGTCTTCCCCTGAACTGTTGGTAACTCCTGAATCTTACTACTTTGGCTGTGAGTTTTCGCTTCATTTCTAGAATGGACTGCTTTATTTCTCTTACCTTTTTCTTTCTTCATTTCTTCCACTTAAAAAAATGATGTAGTAATATTTTATCTAGCATTTGTATGTGTTTATATTGGGAAGAGGTTCTTTGTCAGCTCTGTCCTCCATAGTGATCAGTCAGAAGGTCCTGAATCCTCTTTACTCTTCTGTGAGATCATAAAGAAGAACTGAAGAGCCAACTGCTTTCCACCGAGAACCCTAGCACTAAGAATCAAGGAATAACATTCTCTTCCAGCCAAAATCCCTGTGTGACTTAAGATCAGTGTGATTTTTAAAATGTGACAACTTATAGATTAAAATGTTATATAAAAGTGAGTGATGCCAGTGTGAGAAGACACGTTAGTATTCACATTTTATAGACGAGAAACTGAGGCTCAGAAGCAAAGGAACTTGCCCAAAGTTGCAAAGCATTAAGTGGCAGAACCAAGAATTTAGGCTGATTCTGAGGTCTCAAAGCACATATTTTCTCTACTATGTGGTCTCGTCAGAAATTGTAACAAGAAGAGACATTTTAAAAAGGTAAAATGAAATAATCAGAGTATATTTAAGGACCAAAATGAAAAAACTATAAAAGGAAACTATCAATGTGGAGTGTGTGTGTGTGTGTGTGTGTGTGTGTGTGTGTGTGTGTCTGTGTGTGTATCTTCATTCCCGTAGAGGGAAACCAAATAGCTGCATGTCAGTTGAATGCATTCCTCACAGATAGAATTACCTGTCGAGCACAGTTTTGGAAGAGCTCAGCAGATGGCATTCCAAATGAGAGATGCCCACATGGACTGTGAAGGCTATAATGCATTTCAAATGTCTATGTCTGTCTCTGGCAAGTGACATTGCTTTGAAAAGGTAGAAATATATTTTCAAGGCTATATCCATGTATAAAGAGATGCACATCTGCCTTGTTTGAATTTGATCTAAATCTATGTCAATATCAGATTATGGGTGGCAGCTGACCTAACAATACTGGGTGATTCTGAAGTTAGAGGTGCTCTAGCTGAGTTTAGAATTCCTAATATTCCCATTTTTCATTTTTTCCTAAGATAAAGAAATCTGATTTTCCAAATAAATATGCTATTTCCTGATGTAAATCTGATGATAAATGAAGTCCCAGATTTCAATTCTAACTCTTTTGATCGTTTATAACAGAAAACCCAGCTAAAAATGGGTTAAACAGTAAGGAATTTATTTTTTTCCACTTAGGAATTCTGGAGACAGAGTGATTTTTCAGATCAGTTAATTTAAGAAATTGTAGGGGCAGGAAGGTGAGCTATTTTTCCTCATCCACCATGAGGGTCACAGCTGAGACTGTGATAGCAAAAGACTGGTTAACAAAAAAGCATAGCCAATTTATTTAACCAAAGATTTATGTGACTTTGGTTAGGAACCTTCAGAAATGAAGACCCAAAGATGCAGAGGAAACTGTCTGTTTTTACACTGAGGTTCCATGAAGAATAGACAGAATGTAGAAATGTGGCTGGACAATCTAATGGTAACAGACTGATAGGGGAAACCCAGCAAAGCCTGTCTGTTCAGATTCTTCTCGGCCTCTCTGTGTAGTATTCTTTCCTCCCGGGCATGGGGCAGGACCCTCTGGAATGAGGGTTTCAAGGGAAAATGGAGAGAGTGACCTTTCTAGGCTTCATAGCTTGCTTTGAGGGAGAAGGGTTCTAGTTTCTATGACTCACCTTAGGAAAGAGGAATTTGGCTTCTATGCAGGAGACAGGGGGACAGGAGACAGTCAGAGACACCTTGCTTCTGGCGCCTTTACAATGTCCCTCAGTTGAAAGTACTCAGCATGCCAAGGTGCCATACTTTGGGCTATCGTGCTCTGAGCCCCAGCAAGCTCGACAGCGCCATCAGGGATCCTGTCTCTCGCCACGTTTTCTTGCTCCTGTCCCCAATGTGCTAGGTTTTGTCCCCGGGTTATCTCATCATGGTTGCAGGCTGGCTGCCCATCTCCAGGGATCTTCTTCTCATACAGCAATGTTGAAACATCCCAACAGGGCACTTTGCCCTCCCAATTGGAGGAAAACTTTCCAGAAGCTACTACTTATCCCAGAAAAATTTCTTTCAAGTCTCATTCTCTAGAATTACCTCACATGCTCATTCTAAAGAATCAATGGCAGCTGAGCATGGTGGCTCATGCCTATAATCCCAGCACTTTGAGAGGCCGAGGCGAGTGGATCAGTTCAGGTCAGGAGTTCGAGACTAGCCTGGACAACATGGTGAAACCCCATCTCTACTGAAAATACAAAAATTAGCCAGGTGTGGTGACGAGCACCTGTAGTCCCAGCTACTTAAGAGGCTGAGGTGGGAGGGAGGCTTGAGCTTAGGAGGCAGAGGTTGCAGTGAGCTGAGGTCATGTCACTGTACTCCAGCCTGGATGACAGAGAAAGACCCTATCTCAAAAAAAAAAAACACACACACACACACACAAAAACAAAACAAAGAATCAATGGCAATAAAAATGGAATTGCCACAATAGACTTTGCTAACAGAGACTCACCCTTTGGTGCTGAGGAGGGGCTCCTTCACTGAGCATGTGGCCATGGTGAGGGCAACCAAATCCGGATTCTGTTGATAAACAACGTGGGAAGAACTGGCTGCTGACAGGCGGTCAACAATATCTGCCACACTTAAGTCCTGTTGGACTGAGGAAATATGCTAACAATTATTACCGTGATCGATTGGTTAAAGAAGGGGGACCTACTGCCATTATTTAACCATCAAACTGCTATGAATGACCATTGCTTTTACCAGAAAAATTTTATCTTTTTCAGTACACGAAGCTTGAGCCTATATCTTTAAAGACTATAGCTTTGTTTGCCTAGAACAGCATCCCTCATGATTTTGGACAATCAGAAGTTTCACCATTCTACACAAGTGAATCTTTTGGGCGCCGCTAATCACTGTACCCACTCCTCTGGGAATAAAGGTGAGCATGTAGCCCAGGATGGGCCAGTTTTTCCTACCTCTTTGGCCACACTGATTAATCTATAGATAAGCACATGACTCAGGTCAAGTCAAGTCTTTCTCAAGACTTTTCTAACTGGAGATGAAAGAAAATGATACTTTTTTTTTTTTTTGAAGTGGGATGAGGGTCTCCTCCCAAGCACAGAATTATAAAGCCTGGACACAAATGTGGCCACAATTCTGGCTGCACAGTTATAGAAGACCTGAGACAATGAAGCCACACACAGAAAAAAAAAAGATGCAAAAAATAGAGGCAATAACAGAGGAAGGAGAGAGAAAAGAAAGACAGAGACATAGATATGATAGTGTTTGATTCTCTGAACCCACCATTCCTGTCCTTTCTGAGGTTTTGTGCTTTTAACCAATAAAGTATTTTTTGTTTAAGCTAATATGTACTGGATTACTCTTAATTGCAGCAGGAAGAGTCCTCACTAAACAGAGTATTTCAATAATCTAAACTATATAGTTGAGGAGGGCCAACATTTAAATTGTACAATACAGGTACTATTTAAGTCAAAGGTCAATCATGGGGCAGAAACCACACAGTAATTCAAACAGGTGAAGTTTATTTATTTATTTATTTTTTTTGAGACAGAGTCTCACTCTGTCACCCAGGCTAGAGTACAGTGGTGTGATCTCGGCTCACTGCAACCTCTGCCTCCCAGGTTAAGAAGCAGTTCTCCTGCCTCAGCCTCCCGAGTAGCTGGGATTACAGGTGCCTGGCACCACGCCTAGCTAATTTTTGTGTTTTTAGTAGAGGCAGGGTTTCACCATGTTGGTCATGGTTGGCCAGGGAGGTCTCGAACTCCTGACCTCAGGTAATCCGCCTGCCTTGGCCTTCTAAAGTGCTGGGATTACAGGTGTGAGCCATTGCACCTGGGGTGAAGTTTAATATAAAGAACTAGTAATCATAACAGAAGATTGGAATAATTAGAGAAGTCTAGTAAGAAGTAAAAAAAATTTCTAAACAATATAGGAATATTAGATAAAAGTAGCAGCCACTACGTCTAGGGCTGAGATAAAATCACTAAGGAAGAGTCTCCCTGCCCCTCTAGTTTGACAGCCAGACCTTGTTAGGGAGGGCATGGGCATGTGACTCCCTGAATGGAGAAGTCGGTGTGGTGCCAGGTTAGTGTAACTTGCTGGAAATTCATCCTGCCAAGGAAAGCTGTTAAGGAGGAGGTATGTTGCTGGAGATGTTCCACTACAAAACCACATAAGAGGGGTGCCAGGGGAAGTTGCTGGCTTCTGGTACTGCTGACCACCCCGTGCACAGCAGGAGCTCAGGGATGGAGAAGCCACATCCATTACCGGTTGTCAGAGAAGCCACTTACACTGCAGGAGATGGCTACAAGACACACAGGAACCAGGAAGGAAACCCTGTTCATCTTGCAATATCTTACCAAAGACTCCTAGTGACAAAACTTAACATTTACCAGTTGGAGAAGGAAAAATATTTAAAGGGCCCAGTTCCATTTTTGCAGAGCAGGCAATGAAGAGTGAATTTGGAGCTGCGAGGCAACAAATGGAGAACTTGCAAAGGCACCTTATTTGAGTGTCTTAAGAACCTCATAATGTGTTGAGCCTGGGGTAAAATAAAATCTGCTTTACTTGACCTCAAAGAAACATACAACTTTAGAAATGTTATTTCAGGATAACTGTTCCTCGAGCAATTTCTTTCAGCAAACAAAAATACTCGACCAGGGTCATTATACAAACTTTATGGTGGTTACATAAATAAATTGAACTCCAGTAGAAGATTCTGTCAAAGCAAAGCTCAAGTTGGATATCGTAGATATCCTATCCCTTGCCATGAAATGTACAATTTGTCATAATCATTTGGTAACTTTGTAAGGCTAGGGCTTAGAAAAAAATTCTCCTTTACAGCAGGGGTCCCCAACCCGCAGGCCCAGTTAGGAACTGGGCCACACGGCAGGAGGTGAGCTGTGGGTGAGCGAGTGTTACCACCTGAGCTCTGCCCCCTCAGATCAACGGCGGCATTTGATTCGCACTGGAGCACAAACCCTATTGTGAACTACATGTGCGAGGGTTGCATACTCCTTATGAGAATCTAATGTCTGATGATCTGAGGTGGAAGAATTTCATCCTGAAACCATCGCCCCCACTGTCCATGGAAAAATTATCTTTCATGAGACCAGTCACTGGCATCAAAATGTTGGGTACAGCTGCTTTACAGGGAAGAGAATATTGATGGGCAATGTGTAGCTACTGGAGTTGTATAATCTGAGTCTGAGGTTTCATTTGGCAACTTGCCATCTACCATTTCCTTCCCTATTTTTTTCATTTATAAACAGAATAATAATAGCCTGTTTCCCAATGATAGCTCTTTCTCTCTCTCTTTTTCTCTCTCTGCCTGACTGCCTGCCTGCCTGCCTGCCTGCCTCCCTGCCTTCCTTTCCTTCTTTCTTTCTTTCCTCCCTCTCTTCCTTACTTTCTTTGCTTTCAACAGATTTTCACTCTGGTTACCCAGGCTGGAGTGCAATGGGACAATCATGGCTCACTGCAGCCTTGACCTCCTGGGCTCAAGCGATCCTTCCACCTTAGCTTCCTAAATGGCTGGGACTACAGGAGCATGCCACCATACTCAGTTAATTTTTTTAATTTTATTTTTTGTAGAGACGAGATCTCTCTATCTTGCCCTGGGTGGTCTTGAACTCCTGGGCTCCAGTGATCTTCCGGCCTCAGCCTCCCAAAGTGCTAGGATTACAAATGTGAGCCACTGTGCCCAGCCATTCATGTGCTCTAATTCTTGATACTTTTCTCTATCAAAAGATCTCTTCTGAGTAAAATGAAGAGACAAAGAGTGAGAAAGGAAGAGAAGAAAAGAGAAGAGAGGAGACCAGGTGCGGTGGCTCACACCTATAATCCCAGCACTTTGGGAGGCCAAGGTGGGTGGATCACGAGGTCAGGAGTTCGAGACCAGCCTGGCCTATGTGGTGAAACACCATCTCTACTAAAAATACAAAAATTAGCCAGGCATGGTGGCATGTGCCTGTAGTCCCAGCTACTCAGGAGGCTGAGGCAGGAGAATTGCTTGAACCCGGGAGGTGGAGGTTGCAGTGAGCCAAGATCGTACCACTGCACTCCAGCCTGGGTGACAAAGCGAGACGCCATTTCAAAAAAAAAAAAAAAGAGAGAGAGAAGAGAGACAGACTATGAGCCCCATTCAAGTGTTTTCTCAGTCCTTTGGTGAACAAGTGGCCCGTTTCTGCTCTATTTTCCCATGTTCCAGATTAGGCTCTACTTGACTAAAGAATCTAACATTATTTGATTTTCATAGTGAAGGGCTAGGTCAGTGGCAAGAGGAGTCCATATGCTCTTCAGCTGGCACCTTCTCGGAGGAGAGAGAAGCTCTGTTTCGATTGTATTATGTAACAGATGATCGATAAAGTGAACAGTCATTGTGTCAGTTTAAATTATGCCCTCTGTCCTGACCCTAGACAAAAATTTGCAAAAGGTCCTCTGTTCAAATCACTATGCTCAGAGGAGAGGTAGCCTCCCCATGAGGCTTTTCCTCATGTTGCATGTTGGACAAAACGCAACAGTGGGACTGGAGAGAAAAGAGCCTGGGAAAGGAAAGGCCCATGGCAGTGCAGGTGGAGCCCGTTTGCTGATTGAAATAAGGAAGCGGGTCGGGAGCAGTGGCTCATGCCTGTAATCCCAGCACTTTGGGAGGCTGAGGTGGGTGGATCGCCTGAGGTCAGGAGTTCAAAACCAACTTGGCCAACATGGTGAAAACCCATCTCTACTAAAAATACAAAAATAAAAATTAAAAATTAAAAAAATTAGCTGGGCATGGTGGCAGGCGCCTATAATCCCAGCTCCAGCTACTTGGGAGGCTGAGGCAGGAGAATCACTTGAACCCAGGAGGCGGAGGCTGCAGTGAGCCGAGATCTCGCCACTGCACCCCAGCCTGGGCAACAAGAGCAAAACTCCGTTCCCCTCCCGCCCCCCAAAAGAAATAAAATAGAAAAAGAAAAAGAAATAAGGACACAACTGACTGTGTGAACTCCAGGTAGCAGAACAAAGACCCAGGAATAGGAGTGAGAGGCAGATTTGTGTATGTTGGTTCAATATAAGGTAAAGTTTCCTAATAGAGTTATTCTAAAACAAGATAGGCTGCCATAATAAGAAGTAATTTCTCCAAAGTAGACATGTTTAGGCATAAGTAACAATATTGTAGAGTGAATTCCTGCCTCGGTGGGGAGAAAGGACTAGGTGACCTCTAGACTTTCCACAATCCCATGGCATTCAATGGGACTAAGGGAGAGCTGTGCTCTGACAATCAGTGGTCTAGAGAGCTACTTGATTCTGATTGCTTGTCCAAAGACTCAGGAGGAAATCACTTCTTCCTGGGGTATCCCGACCCACCAGACATTGTCAAGGCTTTCTTTCCATTATTGAATCCTCTCGGCAGGCTAGTATCAAATATTACTCTACCTTTACAAATGAAGAACTGAGGCTCAGAGAATTTAAGATGCCAGTCTTAATTCTAATAGAATCCAGTCTTATCTGTCTTGAATATTGTGTTCTTAATCATTTTATGACACTGAAACACTGATTACAAATGTATCAACATATTTAGGCGCTATATAAAATCAAACAAACTTTTAAAATAGTCAAACAGGTCTTGATACACACTTTTGTTACTATGTCATTTAGTTGACACTTCATAACAAAATCTTGATTTTTCTCTTCTAGTTTTCAAAAAAATCCTTCTTTTTCTCTCAGTTTTAAAGCTTCCAGGCCTATGACATGCTAGGAATAAATCACTCTTCGAAAGTCCTAATAGATATTACAGGGTTTCTCCCACTGTGTATGTTAATTCAGAATCTTGTGGAGTATGACTTCTATGTCCTTAAAGGCAATAGTCTTTCTCTAATACCTCTTTTCCTTGCTCTTTCTTCTTTCTGTTCAGGAAAAATTATTCTCCCCTCACCCTCCTTTTTTCCCTTCTACTACTATCTGAAGTCTCTGTCTAACCACTTTGTTTCCTTTCTTATTTATTTATGTATTTTTTTAAACTTGTTTACTTATTTTCCTTTTATTTGGAGACAAAGCTTGCTCTGTCAACCAGGTTGGAGTGCAGTGGTATGATCATAGCTCACTGCAGCCCCATACTCCTAGACTTAAGTGATTCTCCCACCTCAGACTGCTGAGTAGCCAGGACTACAGGCATGTCCCACCATGCCCAACTAATGTTTTAAGTTGTTTTTGCAGAGACAGAGATCTCACTGTGTTGCCCAGGCTGGTCTGGAACTCTTGGCCTCAAGCAATTCTCCCACCTCAGTCTCCCAAAGTGCTGGGATTACAGGCATGGGCCACTGTGTCTGGCACTATTTCCTTTCAATCAGAACAAATTTACTCTAGTAACTAAATTCCTAATTCATTCAGTTAACCTTCTCCTTAATCGCTTCTCAATTAGCTTAAGTGATTTCTTTGCTAAACCCTGCAGTTTTACAATCTGCTGTAGCCAACCTGCATCTTCAGAGAAACTTACAAAAAATCAGGGGGGGTCTCTCTGGATCTATTCTGGTTCTGGGGCTGCCCAATTAAAAAAACAAAAAGAAAATAAAACACTTTAAATACTTTTTTTTTTTTTGAAACGGAGTCTCACTCTGTTGCCCAGGCTAGATAGAGTGCAGTGGTGCAATCTCAGCTCACTGCAACCCCGCCTCCTGGGTTCAAGCAGTTCTAGTGGGTCAGCCTCCTGAGTAGCTGGGACTACAGGCGCCCACCACCATGCCCAGCTAATTTTTTTTTATTTTTAGTAGAGACAGGGTTTTACCACGTTGGCCAGGCTGGTCTTCAACTCCTGACCTCTGATGATCTGCCTGCCTCAGCCTCCCAAAGTGCTGAGATTATAGGTGTGAGCCACCGTGCCTGGCCAAGGATTTTAAAAGGAAAAGAAGAGACACTTCCTGAGTTGGTTACCAAGAATTTCCATTATTTTTGTTGTTGTTGTTTTTAATCTGCTCATCAAAAAGGAAAAGAATTTCTATTCAAATAACTTAAGTAGGATGGACATGGTGGCTTATGCCTGTAATCCCGCACTTTGGGAGGCCAAGGTGGGAAGATGCTTTAGCTCAGGAGTTCAAGACCAGCCTGGCCAACATAGTGATACCCTGTCTCTTAAAAAAAAGGAAAAAAAGAGATAAATATAATAAAATAAGCTATTGATTGGCTATACACTGTCCTTGGTATCAGGAATTCCAGAAACATGAACATGAAGACAGTAGGTGAGGCAGCTAGTCAGGAACAAAATGACTTTAAACAATTACCCCCAGGCATGAGTAGGGGATGACTACAAGCCCCACACTGTGTCTCTCTGGGCCTGCAAATCTCACAGAGCTGAGATCTCTTTGAGCTGTTTTCCTTTTCTCAGAACTATTTAAACATAAGTTATACCATGATAAAGGCATAGCTGTAGGAAGTCCATACAATTCAATTGATTTATATTCTCAAAAATGGTGTTAATTAAAATGATGTAAATGGAATTTGGTTTTCCCTTTTGAAGCTGTAAGAAGGAGATGAAGCATCTAAGGCCCTGAAGCCCATGATTTAATGAATGCTGGGTATTTATTAAAATGAAAGAAGCAAAAAACTGGAAGGAACTTTAAAACCATCCAGAGACTCCAATTCTTCTATTTTACAAATATGGAATAGCAACCTCATACTCTATAGTCAATAAATTATATATCTAATGCTGAATAGTGTACTCTAAATAGTAATTCATCACACACAACTTCAAATTTCATAACTTATGCATACACTATAGAAAGTCTATTTTAATATTCTTCATAATTTGTTCCTTGTTTTGATTGTAGCAAAGCAAAAATGAAAGGATTGTTGCAAGGAACTTTGGGCCAAGGAACTGAAAATAACTTCTCTTTTCTTCTTTTTTCTTTTTTTGAGATGGAGTCTCGCTCTGTTGCCCAGGCTGGAGTGCAATGGCGCAATCTCGGCTCACTGCAACCTCTGCCTCCCAGGTTCAAGTGATTCTCCTGCCTCAGCCTCCCTAGTAGCTGGGATTACAGGTGCATGCCACCACGCCCGGCTAATTTTGTATTTTTAGTAGAGACAGGCTTTCACCATGTTGATCACGCTCGTCTCAAAGTCCTGCCCTTGTGATCTGCCTGCCTCAGCCTCCCAAAGAACTGGGATTATAGGCATGAGCCACCACACCCGGCCGAAAATAAATTCTAATGGAAATTTTGACAAAGCTTCTTGGGGAAGTAACTTCAGGGGAAATTTTGGGGGTAGTCTTTGGGTACATGGTTCAGAAAAGTTTGTCTCATCGTCTAACTTCACAGCTTTATAAATCAAATTAATGGTGTTGAGTTGTGGTATAATAAAGTATAGTTGGTCTTTATTTGCCTCCGGTTCCCGGCACAGAGCTCCTAAATTCTGGGAATTTCTTGAGTGATAGGCGTATCTTTTGTTATTCATAATGAGCCCCTTTTGACCATACTAGAGTTTATGTTAACGAAGTGACTCAGGGTGACCTTAGACAGATTCAGGTTGGGGACTGGTCCCCAGAAAGACCAAACATGGGATCAGAGGGTTGAACATTTAGCCCTACCCTCCAACCTCCGGGGAGGGGAGAAAGGTTGGAGATTGAGCTCAATCACCAATGGCCAATGATTTGATCAATCACACCTACATAACAAAGCTTTGATAAAAAGTCTTCAACAATGAGATTTCGAGAGCTTCTGGGTTGGTAACATTGATATGGTGGGAGAGTGGCACCGCCGAAGAGGACATGGAAGTGTGACTGTAACAGGTTCCTTACCCAAAGCATGGCAAGTCGACACACTGACCTCAAGGATTGCAGCAGAGAAAGAGTTTAATAATCATAGGGCATCTGAACAAGGAGATGGAAGGAAACCTCAAACTTACCTCCCTGAGGAGTTTGTAAGGGGTTTGGAGTGGGCTGAGGTGTGGGGATTGAAGGGAGAAGTCATGGACTGGAGAGATGAAGAAACTGCATTCTCATGTTGATTCAGCTCTTCTGTGGGGATCCTCAAACTGATTGTGGATGTCAGCTGTTCTGCTGGAATTCAGGATCTGAAGAACATCTTAAGCAACTCTTAAACAAAAGCCTCATGATTCTAACATCCAAAATCCCACCTATAGAAACGATGGGGATGCAAATGGTCAGTATCCAGTGCTATGTGACTTTCAGTTACAAGTAAGTAGGCCAAAATGCAGCCTGACTCATGCTTAATTATAACTATATTTCTGTCCAGAACCTGGCATGTAATTCTTGTTAACTCTGTGATTGAAACCACCTTTGCAAAGATTATGACAATGAGAGAAATCTAACATGGCTCACTCCACCTTGCTTCTAGTCTCACAGCCTAGGGCAAGGTAACTGTGGGAGGAATATAGTTCATAGTTTAAAGCAAGAATGAGAAGAGTCCCTCCCTGAAACTGATCCCTTCTTTGTTCAGAGACTGAAACTGCCTTTGTAATGGAAGGGGCCTGAATTCTGCTAAAATGTAGGCATAATTTCTTTAATCTCTTACTGCTCAGGAGTCATGTGGCCAGAGGTCACAAGTCTTGTGACTTCCCCAATTGCTCCTGTAGGAAACATTCCTGTTGTGGAACCTAAGATTGGTGTTTTGAGATGTTTTTCAAACTTTTGTATTCAGGCAACTGATTAATTCCAACTGGACTAGTGACTTATGACTCAACTGGTCCTGTAGCCCCACCCAGAGGTAGACTCAGCACATGGGGACTGTTTTCCACACTCTTAGCTTTTATCCCCAACCAATCAGCAGCACCCATTCCTTAGCCCCCTGCCTGCCAAACTATCCATAAACACCCGAGCCTGAGTTCTTGGAGAGAGTGATTTGAATGATAACATCAGTCCTTCTGCTTGGCTGTCTTGGGTTAATTAAGCTCTTTCTTTACTGCAATACCATGGTCTCAGTGAATTGTTTTGTCTGTGCAGCAAGCTGGAAGCACCCATTGGGTGATGGTACAAGGACAGTTTCAGAAGTCCTCCACTTCCATTCACCCACAGCCTTGCCCTATGCATCTCTTACATATGGCTGTTCCTGAATTGCATCCTTTATAATAAAACAGTAATCATAAGCAAGGTGCTTCCCTGAGTTCTGCAATTTGTTCTAACAAATTATCAAACATGAGGGAGGGTCATGGGAAACCCCAAATTTGCAGCCAAATAGGATAGAAGTGTGAGTAGCCTGGAAACACAAGACTTCTACCTAGCATCTGAAGTGAGGGCAGTCTTGTGGGACCATGACTTTAACGTGTGGGGTTTGCACTAACTCTGGGTAGTTAGCATCAGAGTTGAATGGAATTGAATAACACCCACTTGGTGAGAGGTAATTGGTGAATGGGTGTTGGAACAATGTGTTGGAAAAGACACTGTAACCACCCAGTGGTTTCGCTTTGGCCACTGCCTAGACAGAGCCAATTTCTAAAGACAGGGGAATTGCAATAGAGAAAGTGTAATTCACACAGAGCCGGCTGTGCAGGAGACCAGAGTTTTATTATTACTCAAATCAATCTTCCTGAGCATTTGGGTATTCGGGGATCAGAGTTTTTAAGGACAACTTGTGGATGGGGGGAAGCCAGTGAGCTGGGAGTGCTGATTGGTCAGGTCAGAGATGAAATCATAGGGAGTTGAAGCTGTCTTCTTGTGCTGAGTCAGTTCCTGGTGGGGAGGGGGCACAAGATCAAATGAGCCAGTTTATTGAACTGGGTGGTGCCAGCTGATCCATCAATTGCAGAATGTGCAAAATATCTCAGGCGCTGATCTTAGGAGCAGTTTAGAGAGGGTCAGAATCTTGTAGCCTCCAGATGCATGACTCCTAAACCATAATTTCTAATCTTGTGGCTAATTTCTTAGTCCTACAAAGGCAGTCTAGTCCCCAGAAAAGAAGGAGGTTTGTTTTGGGAAAGGGATGTTATCATCTTTGTTTTTAACTATAAATTAAGTTCCTCCCAAAGTTAGGTCAGTCCATGTCCAGGAATGAACAAGGACTGCTCAGAGGTTAGAAGGAAGATGGAGTCAATTAAGTTAGATCTCTTTTGCTATCTCAGTCATAATTTTGCAAAGGCGGTTTCAACACTACACATTTGGTGTCAGAAAAAACTCACACATGGATATATGCAAGGTTAGGATCAATTTTCCCCCAGTTGGTTAGATGATGTCATATTGTAGCACTTCTCACACTATGTGGAACTGCTTGTTTCCTTGTCTGTCTGTTCTATTAGACTGTGAGCACTTGCAAGACTAAGATGGGCCTTAATGCATCTTCATTCACTTACCAGGGGGAAATCCAGGTCTGTGGGCCTGAAGCTTACATAGTTTGGGGAAGGAAGGATTTTTCAAAAGAATACAAAATTAGGTATGAAGAAATCACAAATTACAAGTATAAAAAGCTAATAAACACTATGATATCTCTGAAAATGAAATATTTTTCTTTATTAACTGCCTGACACATCTCTATCTTTTTTTCCTGCTTTTTCGACTTGTACTCTTCGGTTACCTCTTTCTTTTTCTTTTCTTCTTCTTCTTTTTTTTTTTTTTTTTTGAGACAGAGTTTCACTCTTGTTGCCCAGGCTGGAGTGCAATGGCTTGGTCTCAGCTCACTGCAATCTCCGCTTCCTGAGTTCAAGTGATTCTCCTGCCTCAGCCTCCCAAGTAGCTGGGATTACAGGCGTGCACCACCACACCTGGCTAATTTTGTATTTTTTTTTTTTTTTTTTTTTTGAGACGGAGTCTCACGCTGTTGCCCAGGCTGGAGTGCAGTGGCGCGATCTCGGCTCACTGCAAGCTCCGCCTCCCGGGTTCCCGCCATTCTCCTGCCTCAGCCTCCTGAGTAGCTGGGACTACAGGCGCCCGCCACCGCACCCAGCTAATTTTTTGTATTTTTAGTAGAGACGGGGTTTCACTGTGGTCTCGATCTCCTGACCTTGTGATCCGCCCGCCTCGGCCTCCCAAAGTGCTGGGATTACAGGCTTGAGCCACCGCGCCCGGCTAATTTTGTATTTTAAATACAGATGGGGTTTCACCATGTTGATCATGCTGGTCTCAAACTCCTGACCTCAGGTGATCCACCTGTCTCAGCCTCCCAAAGTCCTGGGATTACAGGCATGAGCCACTGGCTCCAGCCTTCGATTTCCTCTTTTATATGACAATAATAAGATCATTTCCTGTACTGATTAGAAAGGTCGTTCATGCTTTTCTCTAGCATGGTTGATCAACATGTTTTCTAATATTTCCTAGAAAAGCTTATTTCAGTTCCCCAATTCATTACTGCTAAGTCATGTAAATTTTCACAATGCTATCAAATTTTGGAAGCCTCTACCAAGTGTCTTACATATATGGGTTATAACATTTCAGAGCATTTCAAATTATGATAGACAGTGACTAAACTTAACTGTTCTTTGTATTGACTATACTCCTATTAACCAGTGTATCATCAATGCCTTGCACCATCAGGTCACAACATCAGATGACTTGTCATGTTGAAGAGTAGAAGTATTCCTATCAGCCATTCCTAAGCTGGGATGGCCAGCATAGCTTAACTATTTACAGAAATGGCTGCCAAACACATAAACGTATCCCACTAAAGCTGAAGTAAATGTATTCCTAGTCCAAATTACCTTAGAGGAATCTCAAAATGACTGTGAATCTCCAATGCCACTAGACACAAGGGAGAACTGTAGTAAAGGGGATGTCAAAGTGGAAAGAGATAATAATCTTAATCAATTGTGGTTAGAGTATCTTACCTCTGCAAATTTTGCAAAAACATATGACCACATAAATATATTGCTAGGTGCCCTCTTGGAAGAGGCACATGACACTGAGGGTCTTTGAAGCTAGAGATTTACTGGCTTCATGTCAGATTCCTGCCTGCCTCACATGGTAGTAGTCACAAAATAGGTACTTTACAAGTGTTTGTAGAGTGCACGAATGAGAGTTCATCTGCGTGCAGCCTGTCGAAGAGCAATAATGATAGCATGCGCAGGGAAGGAGTGAGTAAGTGCTTTGAGTCCATTACTCTAAGTCAGGGACTGTGTGCTTTCCTTTTAAAATTTGTTCCAATGTAGTAGAAGAAATAAAAGGTTCCTCTGGTTAAAAACAGTGAAATGATTAAATCTTTACAGCTCTGAAAATAACTTTTGCAGCACATACCTCATAGTCTCTCCTTGCTGCCTAAAAGCAGAGAGGGCTGGCAAATCCACTGGGTAATAAGGAGGCCTCCAACCTCCCTGCTGCCTTCATTTTGAATATCCACCCCCCCAACTCCATCATCCCGCAAGTCACTTTGCCTCAATACCCTGACGAGCATCTTGATCATTTGGGGGCATTCTTTAGAAACTTTGATTTGAAAAGGCCTTTCTCATCTTCAGATCAGGGCTTAAGTTCTACATTCATCAAATTAAAAAGTGAAAAGAAGCTTTTAAAAATGTCATTGGCACTCACAGGCACCATCAGGAGAATGCCTGCACAAACTGTTTAGGGAACACTTCTGATAAGAAGAAGAACCAACATTTCCAAAATCTGAAAGAATACCTAACTTTAAGAGTACATATAAAAATACATTCCATTCTAATAATTTGGGCTACTGATGTCCTACCTAAAAAACAAGCTATCTGCTAATTTCACCAAGTATGGTAGAGGTCAACATTGCTGTGTGGCTTGTTTTTCTCTTATAGCTTCAATTCTGAGTTGTGCCCCGAGTTGGGATTTATGGGAAAAGGGTTGTGACTTAGCTGGGAGTCAGAAGTGAGCCTCAGAGTTGGTTAGCAGAAGCAAATTTCGCAAAGTTTGAGAAAACTAAGTTCATGGAAATAGGCTATAGAATGGATAAGGGGTCACAGATAGGAGCGCCAGAAACACACCCAGGGTAGAGGCCGATTGTGTTGGATGTATATTTGCAGTTTCTCCAATAGTAGGCAGTCCCTCACCCAACTAAAAATTCCACATAAGAGATATTTATTATTCTTGGGGTACTACTCAGCATCTGAAACTTCTTCCTATGTTTGGGGAATCCTACTTTATGAGTCTTAATGGGAAAAAGTGCCTACTTCCCGCTTCAGAAGCAGAAAATGCCAGATCTTCATTTCCCAGCTCCCATACTGGAAGATGG